GTCCCCTAATCACTTGGCCCTTGAATGGACTCAAGCTTCTCCTGGGAGCCATTCTCGGTGCTTCCTAAACCCTCAGTTCTGCTACCGTGAATCTTATGCTTGCGACCATCTCTGAGATGTTTCCAAATCAGGGTAGGGAAGAGGCAGGCTCTTGTGCTGGTATGGAGTGAACTCAGGCAATCACTTAAGCTCTCTGGGCCTGCCACTTTTATGACGGTTCAGATTCATTCATGTGGTGCTAAGCCTGGTTCGGGGAACCATGGGCACAAAGCCTGCAGCTGCTGGCCTTGGTGTGCTCGCACTGTAGCAGGAGAATCAGAAAAGTCACGTGTACTATGGCAGGCCACGTTAGTTGCAGGTGCTGCCATGACAAATTTACCGCAGACTGGGGGCCTTAAACAACAAATTTATTTTCTCAGTTATGGAGGCTGGAAATGCAAGATCAAGGTGTCAGCATGGTTTGGTTCTTCTGAGGCCTCTCTCCTCAGGGTTGCAGATGGCCACCTTCTCCCTGTGTCACCCATGGTCTTTCCCCTGGGCACACTCATGTGTGTCCTAATCTCTTCTTATAAAGACATTGCTTGTGTTGGATTTGGGCCATCCATATCACTTCATTTTCCCTTAATTGCCTCTTTAAAAGCCCTATCTCCAAATACAATCACCTTCTGAGATACTGTAGTGTAGGACTTTAATATATGGATTCGGTGTGTGTGTGTGTGTGTGTGTGTGTGTGTGTGTGTGTGTGTGAATTCAGCCCGTAATACAGGCACTATGTGGGATATGATAGACAAGAAAGCATAGTCCCTATTTTGAGATGTTTTCAGGCAAGTGGGAGAGGCAAGTCCCCATCTAAATATAAGTCAGGCAGGGATACAGCACTTTAGGAGCTTAAGTTGAAATTGAAGAAATGAAATATATTTGCAAATAAATAGTAAAGAAGCATTTGGAAATGTTTCATGGAAGAGAGTGTAAGAAAGTTAGGACTTGACTAAAAAGAGGTACGTGCTCCCTTCCTGATACTTACAAACATTTGTCCTTGTTAGGACTCTTGTCTTCCCACTGGGCATACACTCCCAACATAGTAACGCTGCAAGGGGCGGGGAGGTTTGTGTGAAGAAAAAGGGGTGGGAACCTGGAGCCTGCAGTTCAAATGGTTACATCCCATATGATAAATCCAAACTCTCTTTTGCTCAGCACTCTTTGCATTGTCAAAGATTGTTGTTAATTATTTTCATTGAGCTAAACAGCCCTCCTTCCCTCAAATGTGCTTGTGTAAGAATGAGAAGGCGCCTTAGCATTCTATGAAATAGAAGAGGAATGTGAATGGGATTTAGGGAGAGCCGGGAGCCTCGAAACAAGAGTCAATGTTGTGATTATGCACATTGTATGATGGGTAAGGTCCATATTTCTCATTACATCATGTCTTTGATGTCTTAGTCATAAAAATCAAAAGGATGCTAAGACTCAGAAGAGCAGCAATGGGAGAATTAGGGAAGATCATCAAGGGTTAAGATGTGTCCTCAGAGACCAAGGCTAAGGTCATCCACACCTTCGTGTTCCCAATAACTATGTAAGGATGTGAAAGTTGGACAGTGAAGAAAGTTAATAGGAAGAAAAAAAAATTTTTTTGATTCATTCGGAATATGGTATTGAAGGAGAGCTCTACCCTGGACTACCAAAAAGATGAACAAGTGGGTCCTAAAGCAAATTAAGCCTGAAATATCGCTGGAGGCAAAAATGACAAAGCAGAGGCTGTCCTATTTCAGGCACATCCTGAGAAGGCAGGGTTCTTTGGAAAAGACAAAAACACTTGGCAATTAGAAGGCAGAGGAAAAGAGGAAGATGAGATGATTGACTCCACAGAAGAAGCCATGGGCATGAGTCTGCAGGAGCTGAGCAGGGCTGGTGACATTGTGGACATCACTCATTCATGGGGTCACCAGGAGTCAGACCCAACACACACAAAGGCAGATAACACACACAAAGGTCATGTCACTCCTTTGAAGAAAACCCTCCAAAGTCTTCCTCCCATCGCACTTAGAGTAAAATGCCTTCTTATTAACAGGCCCTACGTGTCGGACCCCTGCTTATGCTCTGACCTCATTTCTCACCACTGACCCCCCCGGCCCCCTTACCCCAGCCTTCTTTCTGTTCCAAGAGCACCCCAAACCGATTCCTGCTTCAGGAAATCTGCACCTGTGGTTGCCTCTGGCCTGTTACGCTCTGCCCCAGGTCTGTGCTGGTCTGGTTCCTTCTGATCATTCAGATCTTAAATTTCACCTGCTTGGCACCAGAGGATTAACTTTCTCAATCACTGTTTATCACCTTATCCCTATTATCCTGTTTCGTTTTCTTGATATCCCCTGTCACAATCTGAAATTACCTTCTCCATATCTTGGTTTACTCGCTTATGTCATCTCACGCAACTAGAATGTAAGCTCCGTGAAACCAAGGCCCAGGTTGATCGATGTCATCCGAGCACCTGGCATTGCATCAGGCACATGGCACATGATCAAGTCATATGTGACACACAGATCCTCAGTGATCCATTACTCTATCACATGCTTATTAAACAAACAAACCAATGACAGGTAAAGGAGGAAAACTGAGAAACACCAAGCGCATTGCATCTGTTCATTTTTTAAAAGGCCCAGAGGAGGTCCTTCATTTTAATAAGCCCTCTAATGGGATCATTCCAGCTCTTTTGTCATCTAGGAACTCTTCTTTGGACCTGGTCTAACAGTCAAAGTTCTTCCCAAAATGTGGCAGTGGGGAGGCCCCATCATAGGTTGACCGGAAGCGAACAAGACGCTGCCCCTTTATCCTGAACCCCGCATACCCCCCACAGTGCTCTGGGGTATCTCGCGGTATCTTCCGTGAGCCACTAGGCAGCTCATTTCTTGCAGTTCTTTTGGAAGCTGTTGCCATATTTTCTGTTATTAGTTATTACCAATCCAAACAAACACTTCAGTTTTCCCAAACTCTAGGAGGAGGTATTTTTTTAAAAGACCATCTTAATTATACATAAGCAATGGAGAATCACCGAGGATTCATTAGCATAATAAACAGAAGCCTGTTTCCAGCATCCACAAGCAAGGTGAGATAAAAACAACCGATATTTGCTGCTCAGCAACTGTGGATTTCTTCTCCAAAGTCTTCTCCCGGCTCTCTCAGTTCTGGGACTCTGTTCTCTGCCCATAATTTCACCTTAGGGGAAAGGGAGAGCTTTAAAGAGCAGATGGTTCTTGAGCTTTGCCTTGAGAGACAGGGAGAAATGAGACCAGGAATACTCCCACAGGGAGTCTTAAACCACAGAGATGCTAAAACAGGAAGAGCGGAAATATGAGGAGAGCATTATTAGCCTTAACACCAGAGAGACAGGAGATCGAAGCCCAGCTCCACCATTCACTAGCTGTGTGACTGTGGACCAGCAGTAGAACCTCTCTGAGTCTATTTCTTCCTCTGCCAAAAGGCATTATCTCCTGCTTCCCTGGGTTATGAAATAAATTCACATATATGACTCCCCCAGCACAGTGCATGGCACATCCTCAGAAACTCTAGTTCCCCTTACCCAGAGGAGACTCTTTAGCATCGTGTTGTGCCTTCTCTCTTGCCCACCTTTTTCCTGTGTCCTAGCTTGGGAAGTTGACCTAACTTGATTCTTCCTGAGGCCTCAGGGCTGGCTCTAGAAGCCTGCAGGCTCCAAGTGGTAAAAGCCTGCCAGTTGGCAGGGAAGAATAGTGTGCTGGAGTGGGGATTGAACCGTTGCCATTGGAGATGGTAACAGATGCTTCCTGGTTGAGGCTGAGCTGGCTAAATCAGGGCTCTGTGGTTTGAGACAGAATCCCAATTATTTCCAATTAGGAGATTGCAGTGACAGCTGCTCTTAACCCAACCCTTCCTCGCTGCTGCAGACCAGGGTTCATTCAGATGAGAGCTTTAACCTGGGCTCGAGATTTGTAAGTGACAGCCTCCTCAGTGCCAGCACACCTGAATTACTTAAGTCGCTCTCTGAATGTGAGCTCCCACACCCTTTTTAACAGTAATCCCGGGAGGAGGCAGAGGGCGGTAGGAGAACTGGGGTTAGTTTCCAACTCCACTTGCTGGCTGTTTGACCTTGGGCACCTGTGATCCTGTTTTCTCATCTGAAATGAGGATGATAACTTGAGTCCTGCTGTGATGATGAAAGTGAGTGCCCCGTGGGAAAGGGTCTCTGAATGGGAAAGGTCTGTACACAGCCCTTCACATCATAGGTGGCCCCTTCATGGCGAACTCAAGCCTGATGTAAGCAGTGGAAGGAAAACTAAAGTCACATGTGATTGCTACGCCTATGCCGTAAAGCTGAAGCCAATCATTTAACCTCAGAACATTTTTTTTTGTCTTTCAAATTGAAGTGAAATTAATAGTAGGAGGCTTGCCTCACAGGGTTTACAGTTTTATGAGTGTAATGTGGAGCCCTTTGTAAACTGTAAAGTGCTGTGTACACATGAGCAATTATTATGATGTTCTCAGAGCTTTTTTTGTTTTGGCACCAGTTGAGTCAGCTGAATGCTCTGAGCAAGAACAATCTGTTTTCTTTCCTCTTGGCAAAGAACACAAAAGACAGAGCAGCTCAGAGAAACTGGGGCAGGAGAGGAAAGTTAGCTCTCTCTCTCTCTCTCTCTCT